TTACATAGGGAAAACCTGGCTAGAAGAAAAACACACATAAACCCTACGAAGAAGTAAGAAAATTGATACTGTACCTTTACAGGGAGGATACATAAGATATGGGTGTGGCCTACTGATGAAAGCAAACAAGCTAGAAATGGATCTATTTAGGTCTCCCACCTAGCAGTAAGAGCTTGCTAGCTGTTAGAAAAGAAAAAAGCCCAGAACCAAGTAGATGTGATTCTACTGAGCTGGAGCTACAAAAAACCTTGGTTACGTAGGGAAAACCTGGCTAGAAGAAACACACACACACACCACACACACACACACACACACACACACACACACACACATATAAAGAATTGTCCTAAAGATGCGAGTTTCAGGTATAGTTGTAGAAGAAGCGATAGACATCACGATCTCCGGAACGTTTAAAAGTTTAAAAATTTTTTATTTTTAAATATCTATCTATCTATCTATCTATCTATCTATCTATCTATCTATCTATCTATCTATGTACAGTTAATATTTCGGGTTTCTTCCCGTGTAATTGTGAACATATCCCTAAAAGGGTAGAAGCGACGTTTCGACAGAATCTCATCTGTCATCATCAGGCTTATGTGAAGGGTCTTTTGCTGTAACTGCCGTTACTATTTCAAATCTGGTGCTGGTAGTCTGGGATGGCTCCACCTTTTCATTCTGATTGGTTGGGAGTCCCAGTTTGTGTTTATTGGCTTGGCTTCTGGTGTATGGTCGGTTTTTCTCCACCAGGTGGCAGGGCTTCATCTTTGTGGCTGGTTTGAATATGATTTGGCTGGGACTTGTGGCAAAACATGTCTTTTGATTAACACTTGATCTATGTTTTATATTTGGTGTTAAGATTCGTCTATCTATGAGAGCAGGTTTCCAAATAGTAGGCAGACGTGAAGTGTCATCCCATTTATTCATGCAATATGGTCTTTTCTCTATTTCTATTGCCTCTCTGATTATTCTGCCATTGAGATGTTCTATTTTTGCAACTGTTTTTGTGTTATTAAAATTAATATTATGTCCTGTTGTGTTTATGTGTTGAACTAATGATGATGTGTGTTCTTGCTTTTGTATTGCTTTTTGTGTTCCTCGATGCGCACACTCATTCTTCTGTTGGTCTGTCCAATGTATGTTGATGGGCAGGAAGCACACGGGATTTCGTATATATTTCGTATATATTTCTTTATTTTTGTAGATTTTCACGGGTTCAGGTATGCAAGTCTTGGTGTATTCGGGTCTTTTCCCATGTAAGATTGAGAGTATCTTGGTGACGTTTCGACGAGGTCCCACTCGTCATCTTCAGGCTGGTGTCTTCAGCTTCGTGCATGTGCGAGCAAAGTGTGATCAGAGATGCCGTCTCTCTATAAATACCGGAGAGACGGCATCTCTGATCACACTTTGCTCGCACATGCATTAAGCCGAAGACACCAGCCTGAAGATGATGAGTGGGACCTCATCGAAACATCGCCAAGATACTCTCAATCTTATATGGGAAAAGACCTGAATACACCAAGACTTGCATATATATATCAGCAAAATATAAATTATAAAAAATTATAAATTACTAAAGTGCTGTTAAGTAGTATCAGCTGCCTGCAATTACTGCAAATTCAAATCTCACCAGGCTCAAGGTTGACTCAGCCTTCCATCCTTTCAAGGTAGGTAAAATGAGGACCTGGATTGTGGGGGCAATAAGCTGACTTTGTATAAAAAAGAACACCGCTTGGGGGGGCCAAAAGCCCTACTAAGCAGGTATATACAAAAGTATGAAGGCTATTGTTTAACACATTATAAGCTGCCCTGAGTCTCCGGAGAAGGGCGGCATATAAATCAAACCAGTAAATAAATAAATAAATGCTCATTTGATTCATCCATAGGTATGTTGACTGAAGAGCTTTTAAAGAAACCCCCGTGCTGTGGCATTTTCTTTTTCACTGGCTTGTTCGGCCTCTTTCAGTTAATTTCTGATTTTGCTATTATTTCCAGGGATTGTTCTACAGTGCCTCAGGACTGCCTTATATAAAACAGATTATACCTTTGAACAGGAAACTTTTTAATCTGCTGGAGGACATTTTTTATTGTTCCTTTAGGACTTCCATTTAGTGTTTCTCTCATAACCATAGCTTAGAAAGATTCATGCACGGAGCACCACTTGTAAACAGCAGGAAGTAGAAAGTGCTTATGTACCATCTGCTTGTTCCTAGTATAGTCTTTTTCACACTTTTTCTGAAGCTGTCAAGTTTCAAGATGGAAATAGGGCAGCTCATGATGACTTTAACTCTTACACCCATGGATACACCAGTCCTCTTCTTTTCATCCCCAACTTTGCCTCGAATGATAAGATTCAAATGAGTACTCTATGCTTGTTCATTTGAAGTTAATGCATATATTCCTTTACTTCTTTTTACAGTCGCAGATTCTCTGGCTATCCTTATTAGTGATGCATAGTGACTTCTAAAACTATGTAACATCATCGTGCCCATAATAGTAATGAGAACAGGCTTTCTACTGTGGTTATGGGAAGATGCTATGAATAACTACTGGGAAATTGAACTCAGAAAAGGCAGCTTTCATTACTGTAAGGAGAATTCTAGATATATTTTAATAAGTGTCCACAGAATGCTCTTCCAGGTTTTGTCATTTAGAATCGTGAGATCGTGCAACAAGTCAGTAGAACTGGTAGGACAAAATGTCTGACTTTGTCTCCATGTTGATTTCTCACGCATTCAGAAGACCACATGAATAAAGTCCACAGAATAATCCTAGATAGAATTGTAGGAGATAGTGCTGCTATGAAAGGTTTTGCTGGACTTTTCTGCATAATGGATTTTATTTTGAGAATGCCCCTTCTTGTTGGGAAACAAGTGCCAAAAACTCTAATCTCAGGAATCAGCGGGAATTTGTATTGCATTGGTATTTCTTAAAAAAAAAAATCTTCCCTGAATATAGGATTTTTGTAAACTGATATAAATTGAGTACTTGCAAATGCATCGGATAAATGGAAAAAAATAATCAAAAATTGTAATAAACTTTTCAAGTGCTTGACGTGAATTCCAAAATTGTAACTTTGTGATATTAGTCTGATTTGGGGAAAAAAACAGTGTGTGTGTGAGTGTATGTGTGTCTCAATCCCACCCTCAATATATCCCTTGGCAATGACAAACATATTTATATGAATGGTCCTTCTGTATCTTGAAGCTTTTGTGATTCAGTCTTGTTGCAAAACCATTTCCAACAGCACATTATTATTTATTCATGAGTTTAATTAACTGTTAATGTTTTATTTTAAATTTTGTTTCAAATGTCTTACTTTTGGCATACCCCATTGTTTCCTGGCATACTCTTAATGAAGCCTTTGGCATGCCATACAAAGCTGAATGTACCTCCCAACCAATATCAGAGGTTTATTTTTGGAGTGAAGGTTTATTGACTGGCTGGAGGCTTAAACCAATGAATGGCTCTGGCAGAGGAGCTTATTGACCCAAGCAACAGGCTTGATCAATCTTCTGTTTTTCTCTAAGCCATGTTCCCAAATATATTATGTGAGTCAACATGCTTAAAAATATAGATTGTGTAGGGAAAAAGAGGATAAAACAATGAGGTTTTTTTCTACATGGAAAGACAGTCACAGGTTGATTTGAAAAGAAAATCCAGCGGAGATATGAATTCATGGAAAATGGTCATGATGGGAAGTAGATTAGTCCATGAACCATAGAGTCTTTGAACAGCATTTGGTATGTGTGAACATGGATTCAAACTGTGTGTTAGGGTTCCATGTAATCCCCCAATGAAAGAAGACTCTGAGGTTTGAAGTTCCTCAAAGTTCCATTTTATTAGAGATGTCATATTGGCACATCTGGGAAAACCCGAATTTGAAAGCTTCTAGGTTTTTCCCATCCAAAGGAAAGTCTAAGTTCCTGCCCAGCACCCACATGTCCATCACATGGTCCAATCAAAGCACGGTCCCATCTGGAGATGCCTCCTGGACACACCCCTCCAGGTGTAGGACAAGATGTCCTTGACTCTCTGAGAAAGGAATGTTATTATGACTATATATACCACCCCTGTTCCATAGAATCCCCCCTCCCAGGTTCCCACAGTATTAAATGTGGCAGGCCTGAAGGCCCAAGGCAAAAGATGGCTTCCAGGCCTGACACGTGAGCTTGACTGAGAAACCATCTATCTCCTGATGTCTCCTATGGCCTCCAGTATTATTTATTTATTTATTTGTTCAACTTGTATGCCGCCCTTTCTCCGAAGACTCAAGATGGCTTACAATGCATTTAAAAACCGTATATAAAAACATTAAACATTAAAACATTAAAAACAATTAAAACCCATTCACACCATTCATGGCTGGATCTCGCCAGATCGCAACAGCAAGATCAACAGCTCCAGGCCGGCCAGAAAAGCCATGTCTTCACCGCTTTTTGGAAGGCCAATAGGTTGGGGATAGTCCGGATTTCAGGAGGTAACTGGTTCCTGAGAACTGGGGCAGCCACAGAGAAGGCCCTCCCCCTTCACTGCCTTTGTATCAGAGACCTCTTCTGAATGGGGAAGGTTTCTTTTCTCACTATAAGTCATATACTAGAACAGCTTTATATTAAATGTGTTACTTTCTTTAATTGTATGGAAACACCCCCCTCCCCTTATTTCCCATTTGAGCATAAATGCTGTGATATTGGATGCGAGGATGGCTAATCAAATAAACACATCACATTGCTGCATTTATGGGTGAATTATTCAAAGCTATAACCACTCATCAGCAATAATTGCAGATGCACTCAGCACATTGGTCATCCCATTCTAAATCACCCCATTGAATGAATGGGTTGTAGTTGTCTTTAGTCCATTCGGCCATCCTGAAAAATGAAATCAATGGCAGGAAATTGACAAATCTTTCCTGAATCAAGAAGATGCTGCCTCACCAAAGAGGGAAGGTTTAACACAATGTCAATAGCCTTCTTTCTGTAACAAATGTGGAAGAGTCAAACAATGCATGTTCTTTATTCTCGGTGCATAATGGGAGGTCATCTTAAAATGTGAATTGTAAGATCTACTGTAAGATTTTGCTTGGTTAGCTTGAATTCTTGACCATAATAAGATATCAACATCTGCATTTTTTTTATCTTGCAAGTTGCTTGTCTCCACCTACTTCCATTCATAAGATCTGCAGAGCAGAAGGCAAATAACTATTAGCACAAAGCCAGCATGCTAAAACAGAGTCTCTTACTTTGACTAGGCTGACTAAACGAGGACAACTTGCTCCTGAGAAGAAATGTTGAAAACAACTACGGATGGGGTGGGTTTCTTCTGGACCATAAAATAAGCTGCCTAACCCCCAACTTCAAGAAGGCTACCATTGGCCTTCTTGATTCCTCTCTTTAAAATGCCATAAATATGTTGCTATTATCAAATTTAGGCAGGATTGTATATAACTGACCTAATAGTGTGGGATTTTCCCTTCCTCATAACCACTTGCTAACATTTTGTTAATTATAAGCTTATTGTATTTTACAAGTTAGGTTCAATAAGGTTCAAAGGAATATGGATTTCCTATTCCCCCACTCCAAATTGCCCCTGGATCTATTGATAGGGTAACCAGAGTTGAGCTATATGTGTCCATAAAGATCTTGTGTAAGGATGGGGCTTAGCTTGTTAATACAGTCTACTTTTTGAAAACTGTTAATTTAATTCTACACAGCTTGGACATCCTGGACTTGGGATGCACACTGAAACTGAATGGGCTGCTGGCTACATCACCCAATGAGTTTATCCCTCTTTTCACTAGGCAGCCATACAATTGGGATAGCATCGGCTTCACCCTCTGTGGCATTACTGGCACCAGATTCCCAGTAGCAATTTTAAAATCACATACAGACACACCAGAGTAAGAATGAAAGGGGCTACTCCATGAGAAAGTGATGATGCATTTGCCTTCTTTCCCCGAGTAAAAGTATATGGTAAATTAAGTATTGCTTTCAATCAGTCAGTCAGTCAATCAATCAGTCACTCAGGACATGCTCAGAGCTGCCACTTTTAGGACCAAGAGGATGTGTTAGGATAGCAGGCTACTCAAAAACTAAAAAGAGTGAATAACATCACAGCTTTTACCTGAAGGAAAAATTGTCTGTGCTGTCACCTCTTCAGGATTCCAGGAGATGCAGTTAAAAGAGGAGACTACAAAGCAAACTTTCTTCTGTTCTTCTACCTTGCAATGGACTGAACTGTGGCTGATTTTTTCTTCTCCTAATCAAGGAGTCCTCTGCTCTGACATTTCTTCTGATGACCTTACATACTTCCAGGCTGTAGAACAGAGGTGGGAATAGAGACCAGGGTGTATTTCATGTTTAAAAAATGAATTAATCAGCTATTTTCTCGTTGCATCAGCCAGTCTTGCATGCTGGCTTTCCAGAAAAGGATAGGATAAATGAAATATTATGCTCACAATTACAACTTGTAAATGGGCAAAGCCCTAGCTTAGATATGACATGCAGATAGCAGAGGTGGTATTCAGCAGGTTCTGACCAGTTCTGGAGAACCGGTAGTGGAAATTTTGAGAAGTTTGGAGAACCAGTAAATACCACCTCTGACTGGCCCCGCCCCCATCTATTCTCTGCCTCCCAGCTGATCAGGAGGAAATGGGGATTTTACACTATCCTTCGCCTGGAACAGGGTGGGAATGGAGATCTTACAGTATCCTTCCCCTGCCACGGCCACCAAGCCACGCCCACAGAACCAGTAGTAAAAAAATTTGAATCCCACCACTGGCAGATAGCAAACTTGGGCAAAAGCCCTGGTGTGGTTAAACCTGACTCAAGCCAAGAATACAAAATGTGAAAAACACTTAGGCATTGTATCCATTGTACGTTGTGGCAAATGGCCAGAAATATTTTTTAAAAAATATAATGGTCTCTGCATGTGGATATTATGGGGCTGCTTTTCCTCAAGCACATACATTTTATTTATTTATTAAATTTCTATACAACCCATCTCACCTAAGTGGCAGTTTACAGTAACATAATAAAACCATATAAGCACATGAATAAAAAGATTAAAAATAGAATGAATAAATAGTTAAAACAAAAAAAAAAAACCCTCAAAGTTAAATTAAAAGTTTAATTAAAGTTAAAGTTAAAAATATCATGGCTTCACACAAACCCAACACCAGCAGGAAGAGATACCCTCAACTCCTCCCCACTCCCAGATGCACTCTAAAGTTAGGAAGATTATGTATATATTGGGGTGGAATTACATTGAAATTTCTAAGGTTTAAGGATGTGTAAATTGGTATGTAGAATCAACATGTGCTCATTGCTACATTGGACATTAATTTGTTGTCTTGCTTTCTTGGAGTATTTATGATACTTTTTGGTAAGTTCTCTCTAAAAAAGAAATAACATTCTTTCTGCGCTCTAATGAACTCATTTTTTTCTTTGTTTTGGGCATTAATTATCCCATTTATTGAAGCAAATGGAAATCAAAGGCCATCAAGTTCCATGTTCAACTTATGCCTTGAAGCATCTTCTCTGTTGTGTGATTTACACCTGGTCCTCAGGAATCACTTCAACACAGACTGAGAAGGGGTATATGGTTATATTTTAACCTTAACCACAAAGGAATAAGGTGACAAATTACTCTTGGAACTAGTGAGTGCCTCACACACAGTGGTATATAATTATACTACTGTGTGTGAGGCACTCACTAGTTCCAAGAGAATTTGTCACCTTATTCCTTTGTGGTTAAGGTTAAGATATAACCATACACCCCTTCTCAGTCCCTGCTGGGGACTAAACATAATTTAGATTATACCACTGCATAGAAAGACTCTTGTGACAGGTGGTATGCTGCCTGGCTGAATATATATCAGGTGCATACAAGTATCATTGTCGGGGAAGAAAAGATCAAACATGAAAAGCGCATTGTAAAATCACAGCACAAACCACAGACTTGTCTATTGTTGTCTGGTGTCAGGAGGCAAGAACAAAGGCCTCTCTTTGCATCATGACATCAGAGAGTATATTCATGTAATTATTGATGACATACCAGATGCCTAGGAAGAGAGAAAATTAATTTCCCATTGATTTTATTAGAATTTTATTAATATGCTGGCTAAGAGGATGGCATTGGCCAATGTTCAGATTGCCTAGTGACTAGATGCATTTTTCCTTGCAAGCCATACCTTCTCTGGAAAGAAAGGAAAAGTGCTATTCCCTTACTTTTATTAAGAGTTTTATTAAGACTAATAAAAGTTTTCTTACATTACTTTGGGTGAAACTCTGATTCTTCCCCTGACAGACAAAGTTATCTACTTTATTCTATAAGCTGTCTGACTCTCCACTGAATAATCCTGCCTTCCCTTCCCAGTAGATAAAGATGGTGCTTAACCCATAGCACTTAATTCTCCAATTCTGTGGCACTTTCACCTGCTGCCTCTTTGTTACCAGATTCATGTCTCTGATTGACAGAGTGCCTAATCCATTATAACCATGTTTTCATAATTAGTCCCTCTGAGCTGTTAGTGACAGCTCTTCTGCATAGGTAAGCTGCAGCCTGTTAAAAATATGCTTTAATTTCCGGACACAGAGTTGCAGAGGACCCATCACCCATAGCTTCAGGAAAGTCATTGGGAGTTTTGTTTTGTTTTCCTTCTCTTGTACCTTCTGTTTAGCCTTTTGCAAATAATTGTAATAACAATAATGGCTGAATTCTCATCACACTTGACGTAACTCTCCACCCTGAATTCTTCATATTTAATATTGAGAACAGATTCCTTGGGGAAGGAATCCTTCCACTTAAGAGTGCATCCTATAGCAAACTAAACAATTAATAATGGAAGGGATGGGGTTATAATAAGGAAAGCAAATAAATCGAAACCAGCAAGGCCAAATTAAAGAAATGCTGCAGCTGCTTGACTAATATCGTGCATATATTTAGTAATTTCAGCCACATTTGATGGGCAGGTTAACAATCTCTTCCAGCAATGCAGTGCCAAGGGAACCAAAACCAAATCCAATTTGACACTGGGAAGATTATGTTAAATACGGAATCCAAATTCCAATGCATTTCTCCATCTGTCAAGAGTTAGGGGGAAATCCCTCAGATTGGTTTCAACAGGAGCTTTTGAAAACCTGATTGCCTTGAAGAGAAGCCAATTCTCCTGGGTTCACTGTGCTATCATTGAGCTAGAAGTTTGTCTTTTTTCTCGGTTTGTCTCGACCAAACAGGAAGGTGAGATGAGAAGAAAGATTTGCTTTGCTGTTGTACTTGAAGCAACAGTCATTGTGAAAAACAGAAAGAAGGGAAAGGCTGCTCTTTAGGCATATTTATTCCTTTCCTCTATGAAGTCAGCAAAACAGACATGTTTCATGTTCAGTTTCTCATCCCAGCAAATGTTAATCTGCAATTAAAATCCACTGAGAAATCAAGCTATTTGAACTTAGTATACTAATGATACAATTAAGAAAGTTCTTTTGATTTCCTTCTAGGTTACAAATGGGTCAACTTACACTTTCACTGCTGACTGCATTTACTATTCAAGAATGTATTCTTAGGATGGTTTAAATTATGTCCAGGTTAAACTTGGTTTTGCTAATATATTGTTTAAGAATGTAAAAAATATATCTTGCATAATTAGAGCACTTTTTCTAATCTGGCAATCTCCAGACATGATGGGGCTGCAATTCTCAGAATTCCTCAAATAGAATAGCTTTCCATGAAAAAATGGTTTCCCTCTTTCTTTCAAATTCTTCTTAGGTTTTCTTTTTCCATGTGAACTAGAGCATTTGAACATTTCTTGGTTTGTGCATCAGCATTGTATATAGGTCTAGGCAGTGGTGGGATTCAGCCAGTTTGCATCACTTCGGGAAAACCAGTTGTTAGCTTTCTGAGCAGTTTGGCAAACTGGTTTTTGGAAGAAATCATTAGGGCAGAGAACTGGTTGTTAAATTACTTGAATCCCACCACTGGGTCTAAGTCCTAGGACAATTCGCCACAGCCAATTCATAATGGCCAACTCACTGACACCAACTCAATGGCCAATTTGCCATGGGACAACTCGCCGCAGAACAATTCAACTCTCTGTTAATCATTTCATTCAGGTTCTTTTATTATTGGTGTCCATGTTTTCATCAAAATGATTGTAACACTTGTATTTCTGGATTGATTTTCTTTATTTTGTTATTATTGGCCACAGTTCCGTTGAAATTAATTTAACTTTTGTATTTGTTGAATTATCCCACAACTAGTTGTCCTGCAGCACGTTGGCTGTGGTGAGTTCTCTCATTCTATGGTATATATACATGAGCCCTGGTGGCGCAGTAGTTTGAATGCAGTATTGCAGATTGTACTGCCCACAATCTGGAGTTTGATCCTGACAGGCTAGAGATTGACTCAGACATCTATCCTCCCAAAGTTGGCAAAATGAGGACCCAGGTTGTTAGGGATAATATGCTGACCTTGTAAACTCCTCAGAGGGTGCTGTAAGGTACTATGGAACAGTATAATTCTAACTACTATAGCTATTGCTATATATTGTTTCTGATTGACTTTCCTTCAGTTTTCCTTCTGATCAGTAAACAATGACCCTAACTATTTAGTTAACTTCTACAAACATCATAAAACTATTGTAGGAATTTCATGCTGCATTCAGTTGTCCAACTAAGCCAGCTACGTATTTCTTTAGTTGTTGGTGGAGGTTTGCCTATACTCTTGTTCTTCCTTCGCTGCTACTGTTTGGGGGGAATGGCAAAGCTCCACCTTGGAGCAACTGAATAAAATGAGGACAAGGTGAGAAAAACAATCCAAAGACCACTGTGAGGACATAGGAACAAAGCACAGTGTGGACTGTGCGTCTTCTTCTTGCTGTGATTTATTTTTCCACAAAGCAAGCAAACTGAAATCCTTTTAGCTACTGCATAGAGATCACACAAAGAAGCATTTTTAATTTAGTCAAAGGCTTAATGTAATCACAGCACCTGACTTTAACAGGCATAATTGAAAAGTCTGCTTGTCTTTCAAAACATCCAGACAACCTATGCCCATATTCTGGTGTCTGTTAAAAGTCATCCCAACACTTGCATCATGTATTACCTTTGATCGTGTGGGAATAGCTTTTGTAATGATTACAGCTACAGAACAAGTAGAATCTTAAAATACATAGTTTAATAAATACATCTACAT